TATCTAAAACATTTCCTTTATATTGACCATCCCAAACATTTTCTTCAATGAATATGAAGGGGCAAAATCTTTTTACAAAGACATGTAGCTTGATTCAATGGAATACATTGATTGGGAAAGATGTTTGGCAAAAGAAGAGAGCTAAAGTGAGAATTGAGGAATTAGATGATGGGATGTATCAGAGGGAATAAACCCTCCAATTTTACAACCAATATTCCTATATGTCCTTTAAATTTGCCTTCAATAAGTCTTATATTCTTTATCTGTAGTCTCTTATAATCCAATAGATTTCCCCATACAGGGGGAAGCAGGAAGAAGAAAAACCTTCTAATCCACTTTTGTCTTTCAGTCCTGGCTTCAACAAATTGTCCAAAGATTCAAGGTTTTCATTCTGCCCAAATTTGTAATCCAAAAGGTCCTAAAATAGGGTTAATAATCCATAAGGACTCCCCCAAATGGAGTCGCCACAAGTCAGATTTCCATTGTCTCTAAATAGTTCTTGAAGATAGGGGGTCTCTTATCCAGTTCACTTCCCCCCCCCCCGAAAAGGGAGGCAGTAGCAGGAAAAAAAATTATAATGCACTTTTAGCTTTGTCTTTTAACACCAGTTATCCAAAAATCCAAAAAACAGCTCAGGTTTGTACTCCTCAAGGTCTTGTATTCCAAGTGAATAATCCACAAGGCCTCTTCCAAGGAAAATACAAAAATCCAATTTCCTCTTTCTCTAGGTAATTCTTAACACTGCAGCACAAATAGTATTTGTAATCCAGAAAAGCCACATGGCTTTAAAGTAGTATATTTTTATAAGCCATCATACAGAAAAAACAGCCCAACGAGTTTTTTCCCTCCCTTTTCCAGATGCAATCTGCAAGGTTGAGAAGCTCAGACACATCAAAGAGTCTAGTATGCTATCTCTGTCTAGGCTTCAAGCCAAGATCATTTCTTCCAGGCTGGATAAAAAACAAAATATTGGTGCTGTTCCTAGATGTCATGAAAGGTCTGTCTTCAACCAGGACTTATTTCTTAAAAGCTCTGGTATTTTTTCCAAAAAAGGGAAAAAGAAAATAATAAAGTTTTCAATGTTCTTTTAGATCACCCAGATTTTTCAATCTTAATACTTCAAATGGTTTCCAAGTTAGTTTTGTACTGTCTTCTTTCCTTCCAAAGATTTTGAGCTGCCACTACTTCTAAGGGGAGGGGTGCTAGAAAAAAATGCCCGCCACCTTTTTGCTCCTGAGATTTTTTTTTTAAAAAAAAGGTTTTTACAGTTATAGAGCAGGAAGGTTAGTCGCACCCAGTTCCAGACACGATGCTTTTCTGCTTGGTCGTGCTTTCCCCCCCCCCCAGCTGTCAGTAGCTTCCGACTGACGCAAAAGACTGGCTGCTTGTTTGCAGCCAGTCTTTCGTGTGTTGGTTTAGAGGGCTTCCTCAGATGCAGCGGTTCAGTTGCTGCCTCATTACAATCGATGAGGATCCCCTCCTTCTTTATCACCTCTCCTGGATGACTTTAGGCCCTTTTCGGACCCCCAGCAGGGCAAAATCGGATGTGGGAGGCAGAGCCCTGCTTCCCTGTGCCCATCTCACTGTGATGCAAAACCAGAAGTCGCCATTTTTTGGGAAATTGTAAGGAGTTATTTGTGGCAGAAAAAGGGGGGGGGGCTTGTACAGATGCCCACCAAACAGGATTAAATTTTAAAAATTCTGGTAGAATTATATCTTTGCTAGGGACTTTGTTATTTTTCAGTGGAAAAATTATTTTTTTAAAACTTCTGAGTTCAGGTTGAAGACCATTTGGAAGGGGGAACATCTGGTGGCAGAACATAAGAATCAGCATATGGAGATGTATCAAGTAGGCCATGGAAGTTTCTGTCCCAAGATTGAGGAGAGATTAAATTGTTGTCAATAGCTGGGCTAAATTTTGCTGAGGATCAGGAAATGGAATGCCAAAACAGGCAGGCATCTTTATTTGTTACAGCTGTTGGAGTTTAGCCTAATTCTTTAGCACATAATTTTGTTTCTTCTCCCATAGAAGGTTCCTGTAACTCTTGTTTAGAATATGAAATGTTTGCAGGGGAGAAAGATTATTATAAGTTTAATCATTTTTATATTCAAATATTACTAGTACTTTCACTGGATTTTAGTTGCTGATTGAATTGGAAGGAGAAGAAAGTTTATTTTATCCAAGAGCTATGCTAATAATGTATTGCAATAAAATGATTATTTTACAAGCATTGTTAGTTACACTTTTTCAAATTATAGATTACCAGGGCTACAAAAAATTGAGAGAAATACTCACAGATGTCTTATTACACCATACTGGACAAAAGTAACTGTTGGTGTCCAGGGAACCAAGTGCTGTAAAGACTGGTACTATTCAATTGAGTTAATAGTGAGGGAATCCTGCCAGGGAATGGTAGTTACTTGCTAGATTGAAAGACATAGATGTATGTTTATACTGAGGGGCAAACTCATGTAATCTAAAGTGAGACTTCTAAACCAGGGCTTTTCAACCGGTGGTACGTGTATCACTGGTGGTAAGCGACCACCTGGCTGGTGGTACGCGCCATAGCCTTCCTCCCCCCGCGTGTCGCCTTCCTCCCCCACCTCTGCTCCTTCCCAGCTCGTTTGTGGAAAACATGCTGCTTGGCGGCAGCCTGCACAAATCCTACTGAACATGCCCTGCAGAGGGCGCACGAAGAGCCAAGTGTAGAGCAAGGGCCCGCCCTTCTCAGGGACTCATTATGCAGCAACCAGATTGACTTCTTCTCATGCACGCAGGTCAGCAGGATCTGTATTGCCCTTCCCCTCCCTCTTCTTACTGATGTGCTCCAGGCAAAGCCAACAGAACGCGGGTGTGGAGGGAGAAATGTGCCCGCCTGACTCTCTCCTCCCACTGTTTCGCAGCATTTAACCCTTCCCCATTTCCACCATGGCCAGCCTGCCCGCCTACCAGTCAGTTTCCCCTTCTGGACTGAGAGAAGCGCACGCCGTTGCCTGTATCGCAGGCTTAAAGTCTGAAACAGCCGGGCTCTTGGCTGACTGATTGCCTTTCTCCCCCCCATCTTTTCTACAAACTGGGAATTGTGGCTTAGTGGGAGGCTGGAGCGGGTCTCGGGGTGCCTGTGCACCCCTTGAATCAGACAAGTGAGCGATCGGCTTTAGCCTTTGGGGAACAAAAGCCGGTTGGGGCTGATCTCTTCCTGCTAGGGAAGGCTGGAGAAACCAGGAAAAAGTCAATTATTAGAGGGGGGAGGAAAGTCACCTCTTCATTTAAGGCAGTTTTGGAAAAGTAACTTTTGCTGGAAAGGAAAGCAGGGTTTTTTCCCCCTTTTCTTGGATCGCCTTCTTTGCTTGGGCCTCTGTTGCCTGTATTGCAGGCTTAAAGTCTGAAACAGGCGGGCTCTTGGCTGACTGATCGCCTTTTCCCCACCCCCCTCATGTTTTTGGGTAATGCACCTTTGCAGCAGGCTTCCCCTTCCATTAGTTATTGGAGGTTTGAAAGGCAATCTGCTCCCGGAGCCTAAAAGCAGAAGGCCCAAACGGCGAGAGTGATGCAGGCATCCGACTCTCTGCTTCAGGGGGAAAATGTAGGGAAAAAATGACTGGGAGAAGTAGCCAATTCGTAATGTGAAAAGGTTGAAAAGCCCTGTTCTAACCCCCCCCCCACTGAGTAGGGGGGTCACTGAGGATTTTCAGATCAAAAATTATTATTATACTTATTTTTGGTACCAAGAATCTTATAATAATAATAATAATAATAATAGTAGTAGTAGTAGTAGTAGTAGTAGTAGTAGTAGTAGTAGTAGTATATCAGGAAGGCTTACTGACTACTGGAGAGACCAAACTGGCCTACAAGAAAGACCAAGTGAAGAACAGAATAGAGGCATGGGAAGACAAAGCACTACATGGCCAATACATTAAAAAAAATAGCTGGGAAAGCAATAATAACAAGACCTGGCAATGGCTAAGAGCAAGAAAATTGAAGAAAGAGACCGAGGGACTAATTCTGGCTGCACAAGACCAAGCCTTAAGGACAAATGCATATAAAGTCAAAATTGAGAAGACAGCAACAGACAGTAAGTGCCGCCTATGCAAAGAAGATGAAGAAACAGTGGACCACCTGGTAAACTGTTGCAAGAAGATTGCACAGACTGACTATAAGCAGCGGCATGATAAAGTAGCAACAATGGTGCATTGGAAGATCTGCCAAAAATATCATTTGCCTGTAAGCAAAAACTGGTGGGATCATAAAATAGAGAAAGTCATAGAAAATGATAAAATTAAACTGCTCTGGGACTTCAGAATTCAAACAGACAAGCACCTGCAACATAACACCCCAGACTTAACAATTGTCGATAAGAAAGACAAAAAAGTCTGGATAGTGGACGTGGCAGTGCCTGGAGACAGCAGAATAGAAGAGAAAGAACTGGAGAAGATAACAAAATACAAAGACCTACAAATAGAAATAGAAAGACTGTGGCAAAAGCAAGCAAGGGTAGTACCAATAGTCATAGGCTCCTTGGGTGCAATCCCAAAACAACTGGAGCACCACTTGAACACCATTGGCATTGACAAATTCGCTATTAGTCAATTGCAAAAGGCGGCCTTATTAGGAACTGCTTCCATCCTGCGACGATATCTGTAATACCATCAAACATCCACATCTGCCTATCCCAGGTCCTGGGTAAGGACTCGATAGGTAGACAAAATGCCAAATCCAGTCTGAACATCTGGCTGACTGTGTGATGATCCATAACAACAACAACAACAACAACAACAACAACAACCCCCAGTGAGGCAGTAACTTGATATGGCTGAGCAAACAGGGCCAGCAGCTGAAGGATTACTAGGAGTTCCTTACCCACTGCAAATATAAAATGATTGAAAACAAAGAAATAATGATTTGCTATAGCACAAATTTTATATCAGTTTTATGATTTATTTCCACCCAGATTTTGCAGATAAATCTACTGTAAAGAACCAGTGGAACAAGTTCTCACCTCCCCAAACTGTCCTTCTCCCAATTTCTCCTTGAAAGTCAACAGCTTCCTAGGGAACTCGGCCACAGCCACCTCTTTGCCATAGAGTAAGTCCATGGTGATTGCAGGGACAGAATAGGTGTTGCTGCCTGTGACTCCCTGCAAGTTCACAATATCTGCTTCTGCATAATGGGGAACTCCTTCGGCTCCATTTGGCTGGGTTGGCTTGGTGATCCCACTGCAGCCTAAGAAGAGAGAAGATCAGAGACAAGAGAATCTCAGTGAAGGAGATCCTGAGCTTTGATGGTTGGTAAGTCAGAATAACAAAACAACAGAGTTGGAGGTCTTCTAGTCCAATCCCCTGGTCAAGCAGGAGACCCTATACCTTTTCAGACAGGTGGCTGTCCAGTTTCTTCTTAAAAGCTTCCAGTGATGGAGCACCCACAACTTCTGAAGGCAAGCCGTTCCACTGGTTAATTGTTCTCACTATTAGGAGAACAATGAGAACAATTAACAGGGAGAACAGGAGAACTCTGGAAAGAGACCCTGCCTGATGCTGCAGGACACAAAGGACTGCCAAAAGAAGGAACTCCAGGCAAGCAATGGAGAAAAATAAACATCAGTCAGACTAAGAGCTGTGGTGGCGCAGAGGTTAGAATGCAGTACTGCAGGCTACTTCTGCTGACTGCTGGCTGCCAGGAGTTTGGTGGTTTGATTCTCACCAGCTCAAAGGCTGACTCAACCTTCCATCCTTCTGAGGACCGTAAAATGAGGACCCAGATTGTTGGGAACAATATGCTGGCTCTGTAAACAGTTTAGAGAGGGCTTGAAGCTCTGTGAAGTGATATATATATACTAAGTCTAAGTGCTAACTATGGACTATAGTTAAATAAGACATAGGGCTGTGCTGATTCTAAATTATTCAACAAGTAAAGCTGAATTTGATAGCTAGCTTTAATTGCACAAGTTAAATGTTCTTTTTCTTAATTCATGTTATTTGTGTTGTTTTTCTTAGTTATATGAATGGATATGGAATTATATATGGATATGAATATTGTATGTTTTAACCAGCCATTCCTTTTAACTTTCCAAGCTCAAAACAAACTAGAGACTATCTCAGGATTTCTTTTTTTTCCTGTTAGCATTCTTACTTGAGGCACTGCTATGCACCTTCACATCATGTTATAATATAGAAGTGACCCAGGAGAGGGCTTTTTAGTCATTCATATTATTTTGTGAGACCTCTTCTATCACAATCCACTTTTGCTACCATATATTCATCTTTATTGATAATGAATCTTTTTTTAAGAATTAAAAACAAAAGAAACCTTAGAATGTTTTTCCTTTAGAAATTAAGCAAATGTTCACAAAAGGTTAAAAACTTTTTAGAAAGTAACCCTAACATGGAGATGGTTTTGAGTAACCAATTCCTGGGTGGCTTGGTCTGGCTTGGTCACTCAGCAGCGAGACACTGGTAAAGCAAGCACAGCAGTGCCTGCATGTTCTGTGTTTCAGAGAAAAGCTCATCTTCCTTCCCCTGTCCTTACCACTTTCTACAGAGGGACAATCGAGAGCATCCTGTCATACAGCATTAAAGTCTGGTTTGGAAGCACCACTGCTTCAGACAGGAAGGCAGTGCAGAGAGTGGTAAGGATGGCAGAAAAGATTATTGACAGTTCCTTTCATCCAGGACATAGCATATAAGCATTGCTTGAGCAAGGTCCGCAAGATTGTCTGGGACACTACACATCCTCTTCACGACCTGTTTCCTTTGTTACCTTCTGGGAGGAGGCTTTGTGGTATCCGAAGCAGAACATCCAGATTCAGTCATAGTTTTGTTCCATATAGTATCAACCTTGTGAACTCTCAAGTTTCCTCTTTCCGCTATGTATTCAAGATGGACAGTGATTGATATTTATATGTTATTTATATGTAAAGGTGTAGGTTTATGTTGTGTATAGCATGTTTAAATGTGTGTTATGTATATGTACACTTTTGAGAAAAGCAACAAAATTTCATTTCTAATGTGTGCCCAATGTGCTCACAGTAAAAAATAACAATAAAGATTATCATCCATCCATCTATCTGTCTGTCTGGTCTGTCTGTCTAAAAGCTATGATTTTTAAGAAAATAAATTTTATGTCCCAAATCATATTCTATCTTTTATTTTTTCCCCTTCCATGGCTTCAGGCCTATTTCTGCAATTCTAGATTCATTTGCATCATATCAAAAACACCCTGATGTACCTTTTTTCTTCAGTTATCCCATGACATTGTCTTTGTGTCCCCAGTTCATGAGCGAGTGTCTATGTGTTCTTCAGTTCTACTAGTTTAAAGTATTGCTTCTCCCTTAAGGTGATAGCATCCAAAACCAGCAGTAAGTATGTCACCCAGTATATCAGGGGACAAGTCACATGAGTAGATGTCAGAGGGATTAAAGAGAGTCACAAAGAAATATGTCTTTCTGTCCCTGGTCAATCTTGTATGCCATCATTTGACTATTGCCTTCCTAAAAAGTGGGACGCAGCAGTGCTTAGCTGGTGACCATCCAGATTTGCACAAGATAGAACTGCAGAGATTCTCCTTGTGGGGATTTGATAACTCTGCTCTAGCTGCATGCTTGATTTCTTTTCATAGCTTTCATTGATCCATTAGCCTTATCACTGCAAATTTAAATGATGGTCTCTCAGAACTTTTCTCCTTAGCATAGACTGCTCAGCCAGCTATACAGAACTGTATAGCTAGAAACACCAGTTTAGGACAAAGCTAAAATAGTGGAATCCTTTGAACAAAATATATAGGAATCCAGAAGCCAGCATGAGCTGCCTAAGAGAAATCCTAAATAAAAGTGCTCTTTGTTACTCATCTCTCTTCATCATTTTCATTTTTTAAACAAAAATCATTTGGCTCAGAGTGTAACAGAATGGGCTGGGAAGAAATGAAACAGCCTAGATATAATAAAAAGACTCTTCCAGTCCAGCCCCATCAGAACTATGATTGGCAGATGTTTCTCTTCCAATTACAGCTGGTGACAGATAGAAGGGGGATAAGCAACCCACAAGATTCGGTCAATCCATCCATCATCTCATGCTGCACATGTATAATCACAAGAGCCACATTTTCTGATCCTAGATAATTCTAGGATAGAATTAGAAGTAGAAGTGGGAATTTGTCCACAGTCTCTTTACACATATTGATCAATCTGACCTGCCTCATCTTCCCCTGAGATGAATTCAGGAAGCTTGCGGATCAATCGCGATGGCTCTTGATAGTCAGCTCCAAGGGGGAATATGCGGTCATAAGTGGAGTTTGATTCTTGTTCACTGGATGGTGTGGAGCTGCTGTGGTGGAACATATTGGATTCGCTGGGTAGAGAGAGACTCACAGTCATTTCATCATCCAGCATCCGGCGAGAGGCCTAGAAATCAAAAGAAAATTCATATGCTGATCACTCTCGGGGCAGTGGAGACGTGATTTCGATTTAAGGGGTATAGTTACTTCTCCCTTGTCATGGTCGGATCACTTCCTGTTGAGGTTAGATTTCTCGGTCCTACTCCCCCACCGCAGGGAGGCGAAACCGATTAGGTGGTTCCGCCCCAGGCATTTAATGGACCCGGAGGGGTTCCAAATAGCGCTTGGGGGTTTTCCTGATTCCCTCCTCCACGAACCAGCTGAGTCCTTGGTCGCTGCTTGGAATAAGGCGGCATCAGGGGCGTTAGACCGGATCGCGCCTTTGCAACCTCTCCGTGATTGTGGATCCCGGAGGGCACTTTGGTTTACCGAGGAGCTACGGGAGATGAAGCGTCAGAAGAGATGTCTAGAGCGACGCTGGAGGGCTAGTAACTCCGAATCTGACCGAACACTTCTAAGAGCCTATATTAGGACTTATTTAGTGGCGATACAAGTGGCAAAATGTTCGCATTTTTCCGCATTTATTGCGTCTGCAGAATCTCACCCCGCCGCCCTGTTTAGGGTGACCCGTTCCCTACTTAACGTTCAGGAAGCTGGGGAGCCCTTACAGGGTAGAGTGGAGGAATTTGTGCAATTCCTATCAGACAAAATCGCTCGGATTCGGACAGACCTAGACTCCGATTGGGCAGGGCCTTCTGAGATGACTGGGGCAGGTCTTAGCTCAGTTTTATGGGATGAATTTGAGTCTGTGACCGCTGAGGATGTTGACAGAGCGGTGGGAGCAATGAGCGCCTCCACTTGTTTATTGGACCCGTGTCCTTCCTGGTTGGTCTCGGCTGCCAAGGAGGTGACACGAGGCTGGCTCTAGGTGTTGATCAATGCTTCGTTGAGGGAGGGGTCTTTCCCGCAATCCTTGAAGGAGGCGGTTGTGAGGCCCCTTCTCAAGAAGCCTACCCTGGACCCGGCTGACTTAAATAACTTCCGTCCAGTCTCTAATCTCCCCTTTGTGGGGAAGGTTGTAGAGAGAATGGTGGCGCTCCAGCTTTGACGGTCTCTGGATGAAGCGGATTATCTAGACCCTTTTCAATCTGGCTTCAGCACAGGCCCAGCTTCAGCACAGAAACCGCTTTGGTCGCACTGATGGATGATCTCTGGCGGGCCTGAGACAGGGGTTATTCCTCTCTCTTGGTGCTACTTGACCTCTCAGCAGTTTTTGATACCATCGATCATGGTATCCTTTTGCGACAACTTGAAGGGGTGGGAGTGGGAGGCACCGTTTTACGGTGGTTCTCCTACTACATCTCTGGCCGGTCGCAATCGGTATTGGTGGGAGGGCAGAGGTCAACCCCGAGGCCCCTTGAATGCGGTGTGCCACAGGGGTCGGTCCTCTCCCCCCTCCTATTTAACATTTACATGAAGCCGCTGGGTGAGATCATCAGACAGCACAGGGTGAGGTTTCATCAGTATGCTGATGATACCCAGTTATATATCTCCTCCCCAAGCTCTCTCAGTGAAGCGGCCGATGTGATGGGCCGTTGCCTCGAAGCCGTGAGGGTCTGGATGGGGGTTAACAGACTCAGGCTCAATCCTGACAAGACCGAGTGGCTTTGGATGTTGCCTCCCAAGAATCATGTCGACTGTCCAGTGTTGACTCTTGCGGGGGAAAATATATCCCCTTCGGAGTGGGTTCGCAACTTGGGTATCCTCCTTGATCCACAGCTGAATTTGGAACATCATTTGACAGCTGTGGCTGGGAGGACCTTTGCACAAGTTCGCCTGTTGCACCAGTTGCGACCCTACCTGGACCGGGAGGCTCTCCTTACAGTCACTCATGCCCTTGTCACCTCACGTCTGGACTACTGCAACGCGCTCTACATGGGGCTACCCTTGAAAAGTATTCGGAGACTACAGTTGGTCCAGAATGCAGCCGCGCGAGTGATAGTGGGTGCTCCTCGATACACCCACGTTACACCTATCCTCCATGGGCTGCACTGGTTGCCTATTGGTCTCCGGGTCCAATTCAAGGTGTTGGTCATTACCTTTAAAGCCCTATATGGCTCAGGGCCAGGCTATTTGCGAGACCGCCTACTACCTCATAGTTCCCTACGTCCGGTTAGATCCCACAGGCTGGGCCTCCTTCAGGTCCCGTCGGCCAAGCAGTGCCATTTGGCGGGGCCGCAGAGGAGGGCTTTCTCTGTGATGGCGCCCACGTTTTGGAACCAGCTCCCCCCGGAGATTAGGACCGCTCCCACCCTGTTGGTTTTCCGTAAGCTGCTTAAGACCTGGCTTATAAAATCTGACCCCTGGATGACTGTTCTTGTACTGTTTGTTTTGTTATGTTTTATGTGTTTTTTATTGTTAGCCGCCAAGAGTCCTCCAGGAGTGGGGCGGCTTATAAATTTTAAAAATAAAATAAAATAAATATTCACTATAAATTGATCAATGACAGAGTATATTATTAAGCAGATTCTAACATAAGGTGGCATCTCTGTTCAAATAATATTTATGTGAAACAACTTAGAAGCTTTCCATGGTACAGAGATTTTAATGGGTCACTTTTCGTGTTTGCGTACTTTTCTGTTCACATGTGTAGGATATTTGCAAACAGAAATTATGATATAAAAGAATAAAAAAAATATTTCATTGAATACAATTAATTCTAGATGATATATGTAATATAGCACAACACCCTTAATAACTACATCACAGAGACTGGGGACATTTCCAACAGTCTTCACACATCTGAATTTATTTCAATCCAGATTTTGGGTTCAGAACAGAGGAGGGCAAGGGCAGAGTTGAAAACAACTCGATGGCATATAATCAGTCAGTCAGTCACAGTTAGGTCAAGACTCTTTGGGTGCATGAGGAACTATGTGTACATAAAAATATGCAAGAGCATGCAAATGCACGCGCGCACACACATTTACTTCCCAATTTTTCTTAATAACCTTTAAACCAGAAGTTAATTTCATTAGCCAATTTCAATAATAATATTGAGCTCTAGCCATTAAACCAGAAATTCACCTCATTTATGATATGGGCATTCCTGGCATCTGCCTGTAATCTTACCTTTTCTATCATCTTCTGCCAAAACTGCCTCCAGAGAATGATTACAATGATAGCCACAAGGATAAAGATGATTGCCACTAAACAGCCAATTAAGATGCGAGTGTTGCTGTCATCTACTTTGAGAGTAGGATCTGTTAGAAGAGACAAGGATAATTGTGTAGTGTAAGTTTTAGGTGAAATGATGAAAACAAAGACAGGATAGCCGCTAGCTGCCAACTCTTGTGTGATTTCATTCCTCTCTTCCTCCAAATTACCAGTAGTATTTTACCAGGCATTTTAAAGTGCAACACGGTGTAAATGTTTATTAGTGAACAGGATCCTGATGTCTATTTTAAAGCAAGTCTTTCTGTCATAAGAATATTACAATTTCTCATCATTGTCATTGATAACATTTCCTTTTTGTGGGAGGTGGATGGCTATATAATTATACAATTTATATTATAAAATTAAATAAATAATAGCAATAGCTATAGCACTTAGACTTATATACCGCTTCACAGTGCTTTGCAGCCCTCTCTAAGTGGTTTACAGAGTCAGCATATTGCCCCCAACAATCTGGGTCCTCATTTTATCCACCTTGGAAGGATGGAAGGCTGAGTCAACCTTGAGTTGGTCAGAATTAAAATCCTGGCAGTGAGCAGTGAGTTAGCCTACAATACAGCATTCTAACCACTGTGCCACCACATAATAATAATGTGTAATTTATTATTTATTAACTAGAAAGATACAATTTTCTCTTACCATAATGATAACAGTTTTTTTAATGTGAATTTTTGAATTAAATAAATGACAATTATTGTACACAACCTATCACATAAGTAACAACTGGACAAGCCACCAAGTGTAAAGAGAGGTTCAATTATTAATATCGAAATTAGTCCAATCATGCTAACACAGTGCTGGTGTTAGTATTAGTGATAAGCTAAAAACGGAACAGCATCATTCAAAATGTTCATTTTTATGTTCTTTGTTTGAAGCATAATTTCAGGTACTATTTTTATTTTTTAAATCCAGAAGCAACTTAGGGCCAAAACAGTTGACATACTATGCTTTACTGCATAAAATTGCCCTAAAATTAAGATTTTTTTTTAGAGAGGAAGTGTGTCCTTTTGAGTCAATTTTTGACTCCTTGACAACTGCTTGGACTAGTCCCTGCAGTTTTCTTGGCAAGGTTTTTCGGAAGTAATTTGCTAGCATCTCCTTCCTGGGGCTGAGAGAAAGTGATTGGTCCAAGATCATGCAACTGATTTTGTGCTTAAGGTGGGGCTAGAATTCACAATCTCACAGTTTCTATCCTGATGCTGTAATTATTGCATCAATCTGGTTCCCAAGATAACATCTGGAGACCCCTATTTAGCTACTAGATTTTGAAGATATGGCAGCGACCACTGCAGTTAAAAGCTTTACTGTTTTAGTTTAGCACTGGAAAGACTTTCCCTCAAGGACTGAACCTATGCTATTCTTTTGGCATCAAAAGGACCTTTTATTATTAAGTTTTAAAATATTGTATGGGTTACCTATGGTATGTTTTATTGTATTTGTTAAATATTTTCTGGAACAATTCTATCTTCCAGGAATAAAAATAGAAGTATAGAAAGAAGCTGCATGGGAATCACATGGCTGTCCTTCTCAATTTGAGTCCTGGGGAAAAAATGCTTGTGGTTGACAGGGCTTATGTATGTGCCCACATAGTCTCTGAAGCACTTTTTTTGCTTTCAAATTAAAACTACTTCATAATTACTGCTTATTCAATAAACCACCCTACTCCATTTTGTTTCAGAATCTTTTCTCAGCAGCTAAATCATTTGTCATGGTGGGGACAGGCCAAGGGAAAATGAGAAAAGTTAGTGTTTCCTTAGTCCTAGTAACTTCTGATGTCATAATTGAGTGGAATAGATTTGTAAACTATCTGTATAACATTATGTTGTCTCTTTACATTTAATTTGTTAAGCATTTGATAGTTTACTTACCTCTCGGTATGGAAAACCTCTGTCTAAGGGCTATAAACCTTTCATGCAGGAATGGTTCCCAAGAAAAAGATAAATTTCCTTACAGAGCTGTGGAGAATCACTACTGAAGGCATCAGAAATAGTAAAGAACAGAAGCAAAATAGAAGTGAAAGACTGAAGGTGGTAAAGAAAAAGATTTTGAGAACCTAAATGACAATGACTTAAAGTTTGAATCCAGCAATTAGAATTAGAATTTCCTTTTTTGATAACAGTATCTCTACAATACCTTATAAGTTTGTATGTTTTCATATCTATATTTCTTTAATATATGGACATTGTTCTATTTTTCCTTTGTTAAGCTTTTTTCTGGTTTTATAAACATGATCCTATTACTACTCAGTTTTATACACAAACATGCACACTTAATTGCATACCCAATGACACTGATTCTGGGAATATCCATTAAGTACCTTTGAAAAGAGCCTGGACAACTAATTATTTTTCCTATGATGTTGCACATTTCAAGTTAACGCAAGAGTGGTGAACAATTCCTGAGACTTGTACTGAATGTTGGGAATGTAAGTAAATAAATTTATAGTTATAACCACAAGTCATAACATATAGCATGCCATATACTAAGAAAGTGCTATGAGTACTTCTGAAAAATGGCTGCCAAAGGAGACATATTGAATTTCAAAGCACCAATTTAGAAAAATATTCCTGTTCACCTTCAGTAGCATTCATTCTTGCCAGAAGAAATCTGCTATGACGGGGGGGGGGGAGATCCTGTATATAAATACACACACACACACACACACACACACACACACACACACAGAGAGAGAGAGAGAGACACAAATTCGGTGGCACTCAATAAAAATACATTTATGGATATTTGCTTAGAGATCCTGACATAGCAAGTCTTGTACATACCATAGGTAGTGGGAGTCATTGAAGACTCAGGAAGGGCTCCAGAGTTGTTGTACATAGCTGTATCTAAGAAAAATGAAAAAGAAAAAATAAAACATTACTGATATTCATAGCATAGTAGAGACAATTGCAAACTTTTAGTTGAGACAGTAATCCAGTTTGAATGAGCTCAAGTATGTTGGATATCAAATCAAAGCTGTATGTTTCAAACTGCATCTGCCTTTGCAATGAATATGCTTTTTAGAAAAACAAAGTATAAAGGTATAAATGCACTGAATATAAATCTAATGTTTTCTTCAGGGAGAAGTAAGGACTATGCATTATTACTGATAACAATATTCCATGTGCTAATTGAAGAGAATATGCAATCAAAAATAAAATAAATCTAGCAAACCGATTGCCAGTTCAAAACCTGGTGTGAACTGCAAAACTTGCAAAATTAAAAAACAACATCTGTCTCGGATTCTTTTGATATCTGTGATCAGCATTAAAGCTTCAGATTCTGACAAACTGGAAGCACCATTACAGTTCTAAGATTAAATTGAATTAAATTGAACTAAAAAAGAAAGAAAGAAAGAAAGAAAGAAAGAAAGAAAGAAAGAAAGAGGAAGGAAGGAAGGAAGGAAGGAAGGAAGGAAGGAAGGAAGGTAGGTTTAAGTTTTTTTCAGTGGAATCTAGGATTCTTTTTTTTTTTTTCAAAAAGAGTCCTTTCCCAATAGGTTGCCTTTAAATACCTTAATCTAAGAACTTTAGAATGTAATTTTCTTTAGTTACAGTCTAAAATAGAATCATCTGATTGTGTTTTTATTCACAACTCAGTAATCTGACTATATAAACTTTATTACACTGAAGAGATTTATGCTGGAATTTAAACTAAAAAATGTGTGTCAAATATGTTGTATCATATTAGTTTAATATTTTCTGTAATATTACACTAAAATATTACATTTATGAGGAAACAAATAAATTCTTATAATAATATTAATAATAAACAGCAGCTAGGAAATCTCTGTTACTTATTTTGCTAAGTATGATAATTATTTACCCACATGTATTGCTTACTTTCAACAGTCTAATAAAGATGGTGAATTCTTGATCCACAGACTGCATGCAATTCTGTAGCCCACCTAAAATATCCCAAGAGGATTGAGCAAACTTTGGCAGCAAAATGGCCACATTTTCATGGTGCAATTTTAGCTCACTTCAGAATGTTAGGAGAATTTCATCGAGGATTAGAGCCACTTGCCACCCTAATGAATCTTGCTTTTATTCCTACTATTTAAAATCTCAGATCAAAGAAGAAACATGAGGCTGAAAGTCTGTGTTGTGGTCTCTTATACTTTAGTATCTGTCTACCTCTTCCCTGAAAGATGGGGAGACTTGGAAGGGAGAATTTTGTTCCAATGTTCACTTTGGAGTCTGCCTAGGTAAGAGATCTAAAGTTTCATAATTGGGAAGAGAAGGTTTGATAAGTATCTATGGAGATTCTCAATCATCCAGGTCATAGCTATCCCATAGATGCTTTTTCACGAGGCAACTGGACTTTCTTATTGTTCTTTGAAGACGTTTTGCTTCATATCCAAGAAGCTTCTTTGACTCTGGGAAGCTTCTTGGATGAGAAGCAAAACGTCTTCAAAGAAAAACAAGAAAGTCCAGTTGTCCTGTGAAAAAGCATCTTTCAGATAAGGTTTGATAAGGTTTTCCTCCTCTGAGGTAACGCCATCTAGAGAGGCCCCTCAAAATGAGTCTTCCTAGTGATGGCTCCTTTCTATGCAACCATCCTAGTGATGGCTCCTTTCTATGCAAACACTTACTTCCAGATATCCACTCTACCTTCTTATTGAACTTCCAAAGGGCTGCAAAGACTGTTCAAGATAATATATGTGGAAATGAAGGTTTAGTCTACCTTTGTGGATGGTTCTATTATAGTATGGTGATTGGGAATGTTTTGTCCAACTAAATTTTTTAAACCCTCTGTTATGGCTTTGTTTTCTTAACTGCTCAGAGCCTGTGGGAATTAAGCAATATAGAAGCCTCAGCAAGCAAATAAATATAGGAAATCTCCTATCAACGCTGATTAAAAACAGTGACTGCTATCTATGGAAGCCTAGCAAGTATGAGACATGTCAGACTGACCTGCATGCTGAGCATCCATTGGAATGCCTAGTTCAGCAAATTCTTTGTACAACTCAAAAGGAAAAACTGTTTTGGTCTACATTGTTTACTAAAACATTTTCCTATTTTGTCTCCTTGAGAGAGCCAAAGATCTTGGGGGAAAATGCTGTTGGAAAAACAAGATAGTAACATCGCAGTAAGCCCTAATTCTTAGAATCCAATATAAAATCCACCATTGTTGTTTGTGAACCACACAGAGTCACTTAGGTGATGATATAGAAATTTGATAAATAAATAATCTGTAACTTTATCTCCAGAGTTTATTGATAAGTAACATCTCAGATGAGGCTATCTCTGCTCCTATCGTGTATTAATATATCAGTGATTTTAGTATATTACATTCCCTTAACACCCTGAATTCCCTTCATCATACCTGACTGGAAGGTAATCTCACTGAACATCATCCAGGTATCAGCAAAGTAGAACTGGCATTTGATGGCATTAGCCATCCGATGGAAAAGGGGTACTGTCACAAAGCGAGCACTGGGATTGACATCATCTAGTACCAGTAATGAGGAGATGGTGTTTGGTTCCCATTCATTTGCATCAGAGCGGAAGTAACACTGCACCTCCTTGAAAATCTTTACTCCTTTGGCAAACATATTATTGCAGTGAACCTGTGTAATAGAGATAGATGTTCTATAAATCGGTCATGTTTATTTTCCCCTGAAACCATGATATGTCCCAACTGTTTCTGTTTTTTTGTTGTTTTTTTTACAGATTTGACTGCTCCATGTGCAACTATAAGATATGCTGGAATACTATAATGTGCCCCTACTTTCCAGCTGAGAGTCAGCCTGCCTGTGAAATAGCAAGTTAGGAAAGCAAATTTATATAACTCAAGGGTTTCAATTTACTCTATTCCAGCTTGGTATTCATGCTTATGGGAACACACTAATATGCCCATAATTCCTGGGATATTCTGAATTCACAGGAATGTTGCTAGGTGAGCAAATTCATTATTTTCTGAATTATTTTATTTTATTTTTTTTAATTGCACATAAACAAACATTACTATATAGAGATAAGGAGTTAGTGAAAAAGATAGGTATCATTTGGATAGAGAGGATCCTTCAACTCTCCATGCACTCTAAATAGTATTTAATTGGCAACTTGAAAAGAATTCTGAATGCATCTTCAATTTTGACAACTAACCTTCATGGTGGTGAAATTTCTGATTCGGTCAAATTCAAAGGTGATTTCCACATGTCCATTTGTGGTGCTCTCATTGCTCCAACCAACATAGTCATAACCAGGCCATACATAATATTCATGGCTCTGGCTGAAATCATCCAAGCCAGAAACCCCATCTGTTAGTTGCCCTAATCCTTCTGTCATGCTGATGGAAGACATGTGAAAGGGGAAAAAAAGAGAACAAGATTAGCATTTCCTTACTGAATTTCAACAAAATTAGTTTGTCCAAAACTGGCAGCGAAATGGGATTTTTCCAACCACAATTAAAATGGGTTGAAGTGGTAGGCTGATTTAGCAGAAGCAGAAATTGAAGCATGGAATCCTCAGTGGAAAGTCTATTTTGGATAAAGATAGAAGGAACAAATTCCCTGGTCAAACAGCACTTCTTTGTCCATGTTGAACTTAGTAAGTTTTGATTTCAACTGCAGCTACTCATAAGTCTTCATATGACAAAGATACTACAAACATTTTTTGGAAATTCAAACATCTGTCAGTGGTTAGCTTTAGATATGCTAAAAAGAAATAATATAAATATATTCAGCTATGAAGGATTATACTCAGTCTCTTAAATATCTTAACAATTAATTACATTATTAATTTGGAAAAAAGTTCCACATGAATAAGGTAAAGCAGGGACTTTATGAAATGATACATGAGACTCAATGTTAGACACACTCGTGTGTGCCTGGATATTTATTATTTTTGTTATCATTTTATTATTCAGTTTGTGTCCTAACATTTTACTCAAACTAGTAGTCAGATGATTAACCACTTAAACAAATTAAAAATCCAACATGCTAAAGCAAAATTAGTGCTAAAACTAATTAGCATGGAAAACTTTAGTACTAAAACCAGTGGTGGGATTCAGCTGGTTCGCATCACTTCAGCAGAACTGGTAGCTAATTTTTTGTTGCCCAGGCCCAGAATGGACTTCCGGAAGTGGCATGCACATAGACAACTGGTTGTTCACATATTTGAATCCCACCACTGACTAAAACTAATTAACATGGATATTAACTGGAATGGGATAATAGACTCCCCAACTTAGCAAGTGCTAAGCCATTTCGGGCTTTAAAAGCTAGAAGTAACCAATGCAGACTTTTTAGTACAGACATCATATGATCCTTGAACTAGTAAGCAGACTTTGTAAACAGTAAAAAAAAAAAAAAAAAACCAGTAAAAATCCTTTGTAAACAGTATTGTGGTAGATGAAAGAATATAGTGGTACAAAAGGAGAGACGGTTGCTGAATTTTTGATATTACTATTGTTGGATATTTTTATTTTTACTTTTATTTTCTTTCTGAGGGTTTTGGATTACATATATATTTTTGGGGTTTTTTTCTTTTTCTTTTAATTGCCTCTCCTCTGAGCATTTTGTTGGAATATAACTGGCCATCGGGCCCTACACTTGGATTACAATTAATTGGGCCATTGGGCTTGATGTTGGATTATAAATAAATACAATAAATATAAAAATCAAGATGAGTGTTTCAAACTTGGCAAAAGGGGCGAGGAAGGGATCCTCTGCTCCTGCATCAACCTCTGTTAGTCCAGTGCTTCAAAAATCAATTACAACTTTTTAACAGCCAGACAAGCAGCAAAAGGACATGCAAGCCATTCTCCAGGCAATTATGGATTCTAAAATGGAAATGAAAAAGGATTTTGAAGAATCTAAAATGGAAATGAAAAAGGATCTTGAAGATTTGAAAAATGATCTGCTTAAGATGGATCAAAAAATGGAATCCTTTCTGTTACAATTGATAAATCAGTTTGTACAAGTTTCAGGTTTCAAGATCAATAACAATAAGACTAAAATATTGTCAAAAAACATGACCAACTCGGATAAGGAGATTTTAGTTAGACTGACAGGTTTCGAGGTTGTTAATAAGGTAAAATATTTGGGGGTTATCTTATCTGCTTCCAATGCAAAACTGTATAAAAATAATTATGAAAGGCTGTGGTTTAAAATACAAAGGATTTAGAGAATTGGAAAAAGCTGCAATTGTCTCTATTGGGGAGAATAGCAGCGATTAAAATGAATGTCTTGCCAAAGTTTCTTTTTCTATTTCAAATGATACCTATTTTAAAGAAAGAAGCAAACCTAGATGAATGGCAGAAAGGTATCAATAAATTTGTTTGGGCAGGGAAAAAACCAAGAGTAAAACTTAAAATTATACAAGATATACGAGAGAGAGGTGGACTCAAGGTACCGAATTTGAAATTGTATTATGATGCTGTGGTTTTAACATTAATTAGTGATTGGGTTAATTTAACAAATGTAGATATACTCCTTTTGGAGGGGTGGGATTTATTATATGGATGGCATGCCTATTTAATTTATAATAAAAAAGTTGACAGGGTTTTTAAGTATAATATTTTAAGAACTTTTTTACTTCGGGTTTGGAAGAAATATTATAGAATTGATTCAAGAATTCCATTATGGGCTATTCCATAGCATGCAATAGAAGGAATAAGGAAAGGAGTTACGATGGATAATATTTCTTATATACAATTACTTAAGTGGGATGGTAAAAATTGGCAATTAAAATCCATAGATGAATTAGCACAAAAATATTAATTATTCATGGTTTCAGTACAGACAATTATTGGAAAGGTGGAAGATAGATTATAAAGTGGGTTTGCTTAGAGAGGATGAGAACTTGCTAAAACAAATTAGAGATCAAAGCCGAACCCACATAAAAAGAATTTATGGTGTATTAGTGGAATTGGATTCAGAAGCAGAATTAGTTAAAGATTGTATGGTTAAATGGGCTCAAAATTTTGATGAACCGATTCTATTAGATACATGGGAGACTATTTGGGTGAGGAATGTTAAATTTACACAAGCGCAAAATTTACGGGAAAATTTCTATAAAATGTTTTATAGATGGCACCTTGATCCACAAAAAATGTCTCGTATGTATTCAAATTTGCAGCCTAAATGTTGGAGATGTGGCTGCTTGGATGCAACGTATTATCATATCTGGTGGTCATGTAAAAGCATAAAAGCCTTTTGGATCAAGATATGGTGGAATATTCAAAGAATTTTCAAAAGAAGGATAAAATTTACCCCACAACTGTTTTTGTTGGGTATTGTTTCTGATTGTGATGACAAAGAGATTATTTTAATGTTAAATTTAATTACAGCAGCAAGGTTGTTAATAGGGCAATATTGGAAGAAGGAATCTTTGCCTACTTTGCAAGAATGGTTTTTTAAAGTTTCTTACTTAGCTGAAATGGCAAAAATTTTGGCTTTCTTGAAAGATCAATCGCAAGAGAAGTACCTCTTGGTGTGGAAAAGATGGATAAATTTTATACAATATAAGTATGATATAAGAAAATATCATTTAGCTTTTGAATAATTTATATTTAAAGTTTAAGATATTATTTAGAAGTGTAGAATAGTTTTGTGGGTTTTTTTAATTATTATTATTATTTTCTTTTCTTCTTTTTCTCTTTCTGTTTTTTATATATAATGGAGTTAAAGTATTTAATAATTTGTTTACTGAATGTAATTATATTTGTTTAAGGTTTATTTGGGTTTAAAAGTTTTTTCTTTTAAGTTCTAGTTAACCCTGTATTCAGCTCTGGGAAGAATGGGGGAGGGTTTTGGGGTGGGTTGGGAGGGATTGGGGAAGGGGTTTTTATTGTAAAATTGTAAAAATTTATAATAAAAAAATGGAATCCTTTCAACAGGCAATGTCAGATACTCAACAATGAATGCAAAATATTGAAGACAAGTCAGTAGTAGTAGACCAAAAATTAGAGGCTCTCCAAGATGAAAATCAGAGATTGGTGCAATCTAATGTGGAGCTGGAAGAAAGTATTGCAATGATGGAGTTTGAACGCGCATCATATTTTCTAAGATTCCAAAATGTAATAGAAGAGAGTGATGAGAACTTGTTACTATTGATGACTGAGTTATTGGTGGACTTGCTTGGAATGGAAAGGGATCAAATCAAAAGAGAAGTTGATCAAGTCTATAGAGTGAATTCAAATTATGCAAGAAGAAATAGAGTGCCTAGGGAAGTTCATGTTAGATTCAGCAAAAGAGCAGTATGGGATGAGATCCTGAGACTAGTGAGGGACCAGCCTCTGAAATACAAAGATAAAGACTTGGTAGTTCTCAAACAGATCCCAAGAAGAATTAGAAAAGCTCGAAGAGAATACCAATTCTTAATGAAGAAATTGATCAGTAAAGGAGTGAACTTCAGATGGTTGATCCCAGAAGGACTATTAATTTTTTGGGACACAAAAAGATATAGATTGAACACCCCACAACAAGCAGAGGACTTTTTTTATAATCATAGAGATTTCTTGGAGAGAGGTGAGGTGGAACCTAAGAAACCAGAGGAAACGACTGCAGGAACATCGAAACAAACGGAGGAAGAAGCACCTAAAAAGATTCAACCAGAGGAGATGTGAGGCCTAAAGATCAGAGGCAGATAAGCTCTCCTAGAAAATTGAGATCTCGACACAACTGAAACTATGGAGGAAATTGGAATTCCTTCAATAAATATATATGGTCTTAACTCCCCATCAAAAAGGAGTAAAATATTTCATAGACTACAAAAGCTAAAAATGGATATAATTTGTCTCCAGGAGACACACATTAAGTCACAACATTCTAGAATACTTGAACAATCAAAACTTGGTAAACTTTATTTTTCCTTGATATCACAAAAGAAAAGAGGGATAGCTCTATATATAAAATAAAAGATGAATCCAAAACAAATTTATGCTGATGAAGAGGGAAGAATACTGATGATCGAGATTACATGGAATCAAAAACAAATATTGATGGTTGCGATATATGCTCCCAATGAGAAGCAAGATCAATTCTTTCAGCAATTATATGATAAACTGGTAGACTTAAATTACCATAGCTTGTGTATACTTGGATATCAATTGTTGATCTAGTACAGGACTATAAAAGTTATAAACAGGTGGAAAAGGGAAGTAATATTCTGCCTAAATCCTTTCTAAGAATGAAAGATGACAGGACAGTTGGAGAGAGATATACCCGGAAAAAGCACAATACACATTTTATTCTAATAGACATCAATCGTGGTCAAGAATTGACATGATATGGACTTCTTTGGACTTAAAGGCTATGATACAAGAAACGGAAATAGAATCTAACATTTGGGCAGACTATAATTCAATGAAAATGACCTGGAAAGGACTTAAGAAAAGACCGAGATGGTCCTTGAATAAATCAATATTGAAAGAAAAGGAGTTTTTACAATTCACAATAAAAAAAATGGAATTCTTTTTTAAAGTTAATAAAAAAGAAGAAACCTCTATTCAAATTGTATGGGACACAGCAAAAGCATATTTTAGAGGTTTGGCCATAACTTATCTTGCTAAAAAGAATAAGGAAAAGAAACTTGCTCAATATAGATTGAAAGAACAACTTAGTATGTTGGAAGCTGAATTACAATCAGACCCTCAGAAGAAAAAGTTGAAAATACAAATGGAACTATTAAAACATAAGTTAAACTTACTTGAGACAAATACAATGGCACAACAGATTAAAAGGTCCAAACAGAATTTTTTTGAAAATGCCAACAAACCTGGGAGATGGTTGGCATATAGATTAAAAAAAGAAAGAGAAAAAAGATTAATAAGTAAGCTACAGGATACGGACAGTGACCTACAATGTCACAATGATTTAATGAAAAAAAATTACGAAGGAGTATTATGAGACACTTTATAAGGTGGAGAAGGTTTCTAAAGATGTAATTCAGGATTATTTAAAAGAAGCAAATCTCCCAAAGATTCCTGAGAATATGCATCAGAGGTTAAATGAGAATGTTTCAATGATGGAGATTACAGAGGCAATAAGAAAGCAAAAGAAAGATAAAACACCAGGACCTGATAGTCTTCCTGCTGAATTCTATGTAGCGTTACAAGATACTATAACTCCAACTTTGAAAGACTTATGTAATGAAGTTTTTACACAGACAAAAATACCAGATTCATGGACTGAAGCTAATATTACTTTGATACCTAAAGAAGATACTAATCATACACTAATTAAAAATTACAGACCAATATTGCTACTAAATGTGGATTACAAAATCTTTGCTGCAATAATGGCAAAAAGAATGAAAAACTTTTTGAATGAATTTATACACCCAGACCAAAATGGTTTCCTACCAAAAAGACAGATAAAGAACAACTTGAGGATTATCTTAAACGTCTTGGAATACTATGAAATCCATCCAGGGAACTAGATGGCACTTATATTCCTTGATGCACAAAAAGCCTTTGATAACTTAAATTGGCAATTTATGTTTCAACAACTTCAAGAAATGGACTTTGGTGAAAATTTTAATAAAGCAATTCAAGCAATTTATAAGAAAGAAACAGCAAGAATACTTTTAAATGGAGATTACACAGATGGATTTGAGATTTAAAAAGGCACTAGACAGGGATGCCTGTTGTCTCCTCTGTTGTTTATTCTTACATTAGAGGTTCTGGCAAGAAATATCAGACAAGATATTTAATCTGGAGATTAAAGACCAGAAATATAAACTACAGGCCTTTGCGGATGACTTGGTCTTTATTCTAGAGGAGCCATTGCAAACAGCTGATAAACTTTTCCAGAAAATTGAGAAATTTGGAGAAGTGACTGGTCTGAAAATAAACAGGGAAAAGACTAAAGTAATAACAAAAAATTTAACAAACAGAAAATTCAACTCGCCAAAATGACAAATCTTCAAATAGTTAAAAAAATCAACTATTTGAAGTTAGAGTTAGCATCCCGCTCAGGGATGGCATCCTCATTTACATTGAGACCATAGACGAACAAGTGAAACTCGTGTGACAGGTGCTGGAACAGCTATTGGACGCTAAGCTTTATGCTAAACTGTCAAAATGCAAGTTTCACAAATCCAGCCTGGACTACTTGGGCTACCATGTGTTGTGCAAGGGGATGAAGATGACCCAGGAAAAGTGAAAACCATCTTGGTGTGGCAAGCCCCTCATACCTGCAAACAGCTGCAGAGTTTCCTAGGGTTTGCAAATTTTTACAGGCAATTCCTCCCCTCCTTCACCACAATTGCCTTACCAATTACTGAGCTGTTATAGACTGGAAAAGGGGAAGAAAAGCCCCAACCAAATTAGCCCTTGAACTGGACAATGGAATGCCAAATGGCATTCGAAAAATTGAAGGGACTGTTTGCAGCAGAGCCAGTATTAAAACACCCAAACCCAAAGAAGCCATTTGTGATCCAGGCAGATGCCAGTGATGCGGCTATGGGAGCAGTCCTCCTCCAGCAAAATAAAGAGGGAAACTTACAGTCATGCACGTACATGTCCCGCAAGCTAAATGACACAGAGCAACAATGAGCTGTGTGGGAGAAAGAGGCTTTTGTAGTGCAGTGGATGTTACTAACATGGAGACAATTCCTGGAGGGAAGCAAAACCCCATTTGAGGTGTGGACTGACCATAAAAACTTGGAAGCCCTGAAGACCCCCCCGCAAACTTTTCCCTAAGCAAGTTCGATGGGTGCAGTATTTCAAAAGATTTGATTTTTAATTAAAATATATTCGGGGGGGGGGAGAATTTCCTTGTTGATGCCTTGTCTCACATGCCCCAGTACAAAAGCACTTGGGAGGAGGTGGTGAGCTGCATTGTTCCCACCAGCAGCAAGCAGCACAAGCCATGGCAAGGGAAGAAAAGGTTTTTGCTCAACAACAGAAGCAAGAGCTACAAACTGACATGTGGTTTGCAGCCCATCAAAGAGATCTGACCACAAGAGAGGGGTTGGCGTGGAAGGGAGACAAATTATAAGTCCCAGACACCCTGTGACTGCAAGTCCTGCAATACAGTCACAACTCTAAGGAGGCTGGCCAGTTTGTTTTTTTAAAAACATTACACCTCATTAATTGCCAGTATTGGTGGCCAAAGATGAAGAAGGACATTGAGAACTATGTGAAGAGCTATGCAACTTGTGCAGCCAGTAAGAGGCTACCAGGGAAGAGCCCAGGACTGCTATAGCAGGTGGCTGACCCAGCTAGACCCTGGGAGGAGATAGCCATGGACTTTATAGTGGATCTGCCATAGAGTGAGGGGAGCACCGTGATTTGGACTATGATAGACCTCTTCTCCAAGCAGGCTCACTTCATTGCATGTCCTGGACTCCCCTCAGCCCAAAAGCTAGTGAGAAATTTTGTGCAGCAGATCTAACAATTGCAGGGAGTGCCTAAGCACATCATTTCAGACTATGGGGTCTAATTTACTGCTAAGTTCTGGAGGGAGTTTGTGAGGATAATGGTAGAGGGGGAAACACATTATGAGGTCAAAAGAATCCTCAATTCCAGAATTCACAAAGGGAAGTTGCAGTACTTAGTCCAATGGGAGGGTTATTCGATGTCAGTAGCTAGATGGCTAACAGCTCATCACGAAAAAGTGGATCATTTGGTAAAGTGATTCCACACTTACCCCTGGAATCCGGGGTCAGTACAAGAGAAAGATTAACAAGCAACAATATGTATACCTTTTTGTTTTTCAGGTCCCCCATCTCTGTAGAGGGGCAGCCCATCAAGCTATGAAGATTTATTTTTTTAGGACTGCCATAGTGCTTCTAGCTTATTTATTGTTGTGAGGGGGGAGGGAAGAATTTGGGATCCATAGGTGTTCCCTATCAATGTGAGAGCCGAAGTCACTGAAGAGATGTTTTGGCAAACCAAACATTTTTCTCATAACAAATGCTGGAAGATTAATTTATTAATGTGACCTGAACTGTAAGAGAAGAGAGGGAAAGTTTTACTTTTTTAATTATATGTTTTCTGCCATATTAGCAGAGCTAGCTTTCCTTTATCATACCAGTATGCTATGTCTCATAAAGTTTACATTAGAGATCACCAAGTCTCCAATGTTTTATTTGTTGGGCTTTCCAGCTGGAACCTGAAATCCAAGTGAAAGAGATGCTGATATAGTCTTGCAAATGTATGAAAAACATGGTAGGATCTCCCCAAATGTGTTAATCAGGTTCTAATTATATAATCTCCAGATGGCACCACTTCTTAAACAACTTACACTACAGAGCAGTCACTCTTGTGTATTTTAATATCCTTACAATTTCTCTGTGGGAGATGCCCCTCAGTCAAAGTCTACTGTCAGGTCCCAAACTGTTCCCTATTTTACTTACCTTCCTTCTGTCCTTCCATCTTTGTGACCTGCCATTCTGTTGTGGGAGGGGGAAACCCAGTGTTACTTGCAGGTTTGTATTTGCTTGCCAGTTCTGTTTCCTTTTCCTGATTGCCATGGGGAGGGGTATAGTAGCTCTCCAAAGACGAGCATAATGAGCCAGAGGTCAGCGAAGCCAGGAAGTCGCATACCAAAAGCAACAGCTGATTGCACCGAGATGCCAGCTGATTGGATACAATTCAAATCCCCACACGGCTTTGGTGGGAGGGGTTTTACGGCTTGGGTGACTAAACGGTGTTAACGAACTTTTACCTCAGACCTCACCTTGATCCCCCGTTACTGATCCCCAAATAAAAGAATCCTGTTTGAATCAGTGATTGCCTCAAGAGTCAAATTCTTGGGAGAACAGCTGAAGTGGGACGTTACAGAGGGTGAGGTCTGCACAATGCTCAACCTGGAGATGCAACTGCACTACAGGGGGAGCCACAATTATTTCACGAATGGAGGAGTTC